GTCCTGTTGCTCTTGAGCTTCTCTGCAGGGGGACATTGCAGGCAAAAACCAGCCCTGGTTTGGTGGTTTAAAAATTAGGGTAGAATTTTTGCAAGTTAGTCTTTTATGCCCTTGCCTTGGACGAACATATCTTCATTTACTTCCTTCACACAGCCCCAATGTCCTGCTACAGCTTTCCTGCTCTTTTCTGGAGGTCCCTTCTGGAGAACAGTTTCATGGCTCGTAAATCAGGTGTCAAAGAAGGCTGGGAGAAATCACCCTCTGGGTGTCTTTTCCTCCCTGCTGACTAGAACCCAAGTTGATGAGAGCTTCATGTGACACACTTTGGTTTAGAGGGATCCAGGACTGTTGCTCTCCCTGGTCCCACTCCCCTGAGTGTGACACCTCATTGGGATCCTCCAGGCCTCTTGGTGGCTTCCTTGTTTGAAGAGTTTCTCAGCACAAGTCTCTGCTGTTGTAGTGGCTGTGGAATGAGCTTCATGAGAGGGGTTTGGGAGTCCTGGCTGACAAGTTAACCATGACTCACCACTGTGCGCTGCTGGCCAAGAAGGCCAATGGGCTCCTGGCTGCAGCAGGAGGAGCATTAGCAGCAGGCGAGGGAGGGATCCTGCCCCTCTGCTCAGCCCTGGGGAGGCACCTGGAGCATCGGGGGCAGCTCTGGGCTCCCCAGGACAAGAGGGACCTGGAGCTGCTAGAGAGGGGCCAGCGCAGGGCCACGAAGATGATGAAGGGCCTGGAGCAGCCATCGTGTGAGGGAAAACTGAGCGAGTGGGGCCTGTTGAGCCTGGAGAAGACTGAGAGGAGATTTGATCAACATGTGCAAGTACCTGAGGGGTGACTGTAGGGAAGATGGGGCCAGGCTCTTCTCCATGGTGGCCGGTGACAGGACAAAGGGTGGTGGGTGTAAGCTGAAACATAGGAAGTTTAATCTCCATATGAGGAAGAACTTCTTTGGTGTGAGGGTGCCAGAGCCCTGGCACAGGCTGCCCAGAGAGGCCGGGGGAGATCCTGCTCTGGAGATCTTCAAACCCACCTGGACGCCACCCTGTGCCCCTGCTCCGGGTGTCCCTGCTGAAGCAGGGGGTTGGACTAGCTGATCGCTAGAGGTCCCTTCCAACCTTAACTGTTCTGCGATTCATCTGCCCTTCCTTCAATAAGGCGCATGGCTCACTAGGGTTGTTGCCTTCTCTTTTTTGGCTGGAGGGAAGAGTCTGGACAACAGACATCCCTGCACCAGCCTGCAAAGTCCAGAGAGGAGCTAGAGGAAGGAAATTCCATCTGGACACCTCTCCTCGTGGTCAGGCTGGACGCTACACACATCCATGCAGGGAATATTCACCTGCCACACGGCCGTGTTTTGGGGGTCAACGCAGGTCTGCGACTGGCCCTCGCTTGTGACTTACAGGTGGTCACGCAACGAGCCAAGGGCACAGCCTGGTCTCCAGCCTCAGCCGGGCTCAGGTGCTTCTGCACCACATTCCACCGTGCTCTGCCCAGACCAAGAGGGGGCACCCTCCTCTTCCCCCAGTCCTCTCCACGGCACTGCAGATGCTTGTCCTGGTCCCTCTAGTAGTTATCCAGACCACGATCCACGGAAAAGGGCAAAGGGAGATGGGGAGTGGGGTAGGAAGAAGCTTGGAGCCAGCGGTAGGGGGGTTGGGGAATGGAGACCGGGAGCAGGTGAATGAACTAGGGAAGGATGTTGAGGGAGAGCAGGATGTAGAGGGAGAGCAGGGCGACGGTGCCCACAGACTGTCGGACAGTGTCACCGCCACCATGGCGGACAAAGACGCAGCCGGGCGCCACGGTGAGGGGCCCGCGCAGCTCACACAGCCACCTCAGGGAACCGTCATTTTATTAAACAGCCATTAAAAAGGGTAGAGGGGCCCCTGGCCAGGGCCACGTGGGCACCACAGACTTCAAGCTGGGGGCTGTGAGTTTCCCCATGGGACTGGGCTGTCCCCACTGCCACCCGCAGCCTCAGGTGGGGGGTGACCGGCCAAGCGGGTGCTGGTGACAGGGGCAGGCGGCAGATAGGACAGCAAAGCTGGTGTTTGCCTGCCCCTGATGTCCCCAAATAGCTGGTGCTGGGAGAGGGGAGAATCCGCAGCCCTGGGGGCAGCTCGGCCAGCGGCCCCCAAACTATTTACACCGATTTGGGATCCCTGGCACCAGCCCAGGCCGAGCGCAGGCAGCCAAGAGCAGCGACGGTGCCGCCAGCCCATGGGAAACAGGAACGTTGGCCCTGCAGGAAGGACCAGCCAGTGGCTCCCCAGAACCGCATGGGTGACATGGACGGACAGACGTGGCCCCCGCCAGCCACCAGGGAGCACAGGCCAGGCGGAAGAGAGCGCTGCCTGGGACCGTGTCCCAGCTAAAGCCAATCAGTCTATCAGGCAGGGACAGGGCTCCGGGGAGCTGCTGGCCTCAAGGACAGGAGGAGCCCGTGACGCAGGCGGCTGCTGCCCTCCGGGCTCCGTGGGCCAGCCTGGCGCTTCGGAAAGGCCCCCAGGCAAGACAGGCTCCAGCAGCCAACACGGCGCAGCGGGAGAGGCGGGAGGGTGGCTGCTTCCTCCCGGTGCTGCCCGCGGACACAGCGCGCATGGAGGGGCTCTGCGGCAGCCGAGCGCCTCACAGGGTGCTCTCCAGCGTGTTGTAGTTGTCCTTGAAGCTCTTCAGCTCCAGGAAGTGTTTGGCACGTTTGCTCTTCTGGCTGGAAGGCAGGTAGGTGACCTGGATGGTGGCAGGGTTGGAAACTTCAGGGGACAGAGTGAGGTCCTTGGCTGCCGACTGGTGCTGCCTCTGGCTGCTGCCTCCCCGCGCCTTGGTCCTGCCGAGAGAGGGACGTTATTGGAGCAGGAGGCGGCGGCACCTCTGTCAGAGGGTCTGTCTGTCCAGTGCGAGGCAAAACTGCCCTCAGGACATGGTTCTCGCCACAGTTTTGGAACTCCAGGCTGGTTTCCCGTAGGTCTGGGAAGCCACCCATCTCAAAGTAGCCACGTTAGCGGGAACGTGGACACTGACCCAGCTGGTGACCAGCCCCAAAGAGCTACCAGCAGCAGCCAGGCACTTATGGGTCAAGCACACCTGGAAGGACAGACTGCCCGAGCAGCAGCAGCCCCCAAAACCAACCCCCCGCCAGCTCGGACACTTACATGTTCGCTAGCTCGTTCAAAGCATCCTGATACTTCAGATATTCCGGCTTCCCAAAGACCTAGGCACAAGCAGAAAAGACTCCAGGAACTGGGGCCTGGCGCTACCCGAGTGCTGCCGCGCGCCGTGGAGCTCCCGGGCGCTGCTGCGGGGCCAGGCCGGCACCCACCCCGGTGCCGTAACGGGCGCTCTCGTAGCCGTCCAGCAACGCGTCGATCAAGGCTTTGCGGACGCCTTTGAAGGAGGCGCTGGAGTTGCGCAGCTCCAGCAGGTAGGCACAGAAGTTCCTTCCTATTAAAGACTTGGGGTATCTGCCCTCTGTGTGAAATGGTATTTCTGAAAAAGACCCAAAAGAAGCAGCAAACGCCTGCTGGTCCCCACACTGAGCCCTTGTTTTCCCCACGCTCTCCATCCTGCCGCCCCGGTCCTACCCGATGTCCTGATTGCATCCAGCGCCTTCATCCTGTACAGGTAGTTATAGCAGCCTGGAGGAGACAAGGCACAAGCTGCGAGCTGGCCGAGCTCGGCACAGTGGGGCGCCAAGCAGGGGGGATGCACAGGGCAGAGCGCGGAGACCCCCTCGTGCCGCCCAAGCCGTGAGGAGCCAACACAAAAGCCAACGGGGCACGGAGCGCGGGGCGGGCTCGGGGGCTGTGAGCCGGCAGGGCGGGTGGGAGACGCTACCTGGCGTCTCCAGCTGCAGGAACCTGCTGTCATCCTCAGCGAGCAGCCGGGGCTCGTATTTGATGTCCTGCACCCTTGACAGCCGTGTGTCGATCTCCTCCTTCAGGTCCTGAGCAAAGAAACTCATACAGAGCCCTTGCTCCCTTTCTTACAGGAGAGCAGCCGAGTCCTGGGGGCACTCTGGAATCTGCGAGGGGGAAACCTGCACCCCACAGTGTGAGCCCCCCTTTTGGGGCACCCCTGGGCAGACGGTGCAGGCAGCTCTGTGGGCTCGGGGAGCTGCATCCCGCCATGGGGCTGCGTGCCCACCCACCTTGGGTGCGTGCTGCCCCACGGGCACGTGAGGGCCACGGCGGGACTTCATGGCGAAGCGCATGATCTGCCGTTTCACAAAGATGAAGAGCAGCACAAAGACCTAGGGCAGCAGAGCAGGGCAGGTGCTCAGCGCCGCAGGGCACCAGGGACCTGTGAGACAGCCACCACCTCCCCAGTCCCACAGACATCCTGACGCTGGCACCAAGCTTCCCCTGGACCCCCCAAACCCGCCGATGCCAGGGACTCCGGCCCCGATGCACCAGAGACCCCACGGACACCCGAGCCCACCCCCACGGCAGCCCCAGAGACTCGCGGGGTGCAGCCCCACGGATGGGCTGAGCCCAGCCTCATGTGGGACCGTATGGGCACCATGGCCCAGCCCCACAACAACCCGAGTCCGGGTCAACAGGGGCCCCTCGGACACCCGAGCCCAGCCCCACGGCAGTCCCGGGCCTGGCCTCACAGCAGCCCCAAAACAGCCG